TGATTCCCTAGCACTGAGTCAGGGCAGTGCCTCAATTTAATGTGCAGTCTGCTTAGGTCCAATGTCTTGGAAAAAAAATACAATTCCCATGATTCCCTAGCACTGAGCCAGGGCAGTTAACGTGGACTCAATTTGCACTATTTCTAGCAGTCTGCAAAGGCCCTAAAAAAGGAAGTTTCCCAAGTTGTAGTACACAGCACTTTAAAAAATCAAAGCTAGTATAGAACAAAAGGATTTGAGAATGTTTTTACTTGTCTTCATGCTGATTCTCACAATGCAGCTGAGATTTTGAAGGACTGCAGCCCAACGTTTGAGACCCGTCTTCACATTTCATTTTGGTGCCATTCCTGCCAGATGTTGCATTCTTCCCTTGCATGGCTGGTAATCCTGCCACGTTTCAAAAGTGATGAATCAAATCGCCATGAAATCTTGGGATCTCCATACAAGCTCCGTGAAATTTGGACTAATGCTGAGTATGAATGAACAGTGAATTTTGTCTGGCAAAGGAGTCTTTTCTTTTTTCTTTTTAAGCTGTCCTTCATGACTCAGAAGAGGGCTTTCTACAGTTTGAGGCAACAAGCTAAACTATGAGCTTGCTCACCCTTTCCTGCTTTAAAACTGATTTTTAAAATAAGGGGATGAGGGGCTTCTAACCAAGGACGGGGGTAGGGATAGAAGGATACTTACAGAGTGCTATTTTTGGGATAAGGTCAGTCAAGTGTTAATAATGGCTGCTTTAACAGCCTACTCTTGTCTACCTTGTGTGTCGCAAATGGCTGCAACATTGGCCTTCCACAAAGGAGACGTAGTTCTAAGCAGGCAGTGGGAACTTGCACCCATTTCCTTTAGTTCCCTCTCAATCTTATTCCTTAGCAGCTCATCATCATCCTTTCACTTTCTTTCCCTTTCATTGAAATTTCTTTTTGGTATTCAACTTTTCTGCATAGTCCTTAACTTCATGCCTAACTGATTTCAAGTTGCACTGAATTCGCATTATAAGCTCTTTGAATGGATTTCCTGGCTACCGTCCTAGTTTGCTCTGTAAAACATTCTGTACCATGGATGACCCTAATAACTCTAAAAGCAAGGTAAAAACTTAATAAGTTTATGACATAATTACGATTTTCCATCTTGTTTGGCTAAGGATGGACAGGATCTTTTAATGAATAGGTATTAAGCAAATTCAGACTAGGGCTTAAGTTGTTTAATAGGCTTCTGTGCCTACTAAAAGTTGTGTAGAAGAGGCCATCTTTTAATTTGTTGACCTATTTAGCATGTTTTTAGCCTTTAAAAATCTCTTTATTTTTATACTGCTTAAATTAGGTTGATTTTATTGTATGCTGGCCTGAGAGGGTGAGATTTAAATAACTAAATAAACAAATAAATACTCAGTTCTTCTTTTGTTGGCCTATATATCCTAAAGGCACCAGATTCTGTCTGATCTTGGAAGCTAACCAGGGTCAGCCCTGGTCAGTAGTTGGATGGGAAACTGCCAATGCATGCCATGTGCTGTAGGCTATATTTCAGAGGAAATAGAGAGCAAAACCGCCTCTGAGTTCTGCAATGCAAGGTATTTGCCCATTCTAACAACCTTACCCTCTACAAGTGCAACCCCCCCACCAAAAAAAGGATAGAAAAATATAAGGGAAGTGTGGTACTCTGTGTGTGCATGTATCATCAGGTCATCAGTCGATTTATGGCAATCTCATAAATTTCAAAGGGGTTTCTTGGAAAGGAATACTCAGAGATGTACATATATTTTAATTTGCATTACAAAATATATAATGCAGTTTGGCTTAATCTATAGAATTTTGGGATTTGTAGTTTTGTGAGATATTTAGCCTTCTCAGTTGAAGAAGTCCCATATTTCCTTACAAATCCCATATTTCCTTAGCATTAAGCCATGGCAGTTAAAGTGGAATCAAACTGCATTATTTCTGTAATGCAGATGCAGCCAAAGAAAACCCTATGAAATTCATGATGTCGCCACAAGTTGAGAAACAACTTGAAGGCACGTACACACACACCCCTGTTTTATCATCCTTTCAGAACCTGCACATCTTGAAATGGTTCTGTGCAATTATTGAGGAGCCTCATTTGCTGTTTGCTGGAGCCAAATCCATGATTGTAAATCAAATCATGGGCCTTTTTTATACCTTGATTAGATACCTACTGGCAGCTGCTGCCAGAGATCTCACTGCTGGCAACTGGATACTTGGCAGGTTCTTAGAAGAAAGTGTGCTGCAATGCATGGTGGAATACTATCTGTCTCCCCAAAAACTATGCATTACATTACCGCAGTTCTCTGTTGCTTTATTGCACATCGGCGGTTGTTGTTTTAACTTTGTTTATTTTAACTTGTAATTGATTTAATAACTTTTTAAGGGGTAGGTGGGAGGTAATTTGTTTTTATTGTTGCACTGCACTTTTTACTGTAAGCTGCCCCAATTGATCTCAGAGGGGTGGGGTATAAATAAATATTATTATTATTATTATTATTATTATTATTATTATTATTATTATTTATTAATACTGCCTTTAACAATAGTATAGGGTTGCCTGAGAGCCAGCATGGTGTAGTGGTTTGAGAGTTGGACTACGAACCTGAAGACCAGGGTTCGATTCCCTGATCAGCCATGGAAACCCACCAGGTAACCGTGGACACTCTCGCAGCCCCAAAAAACCCTGTGATAGGTTCATCTTAGGGTTGCCATACATTGCCATATGTTGGAATGGCAACCCTAAGATGTGACTTGAAGGCACAAAACAACAACAGCAGGGTTTTTTTGTATCCTTGTACCATATCATTTGGTGAATGGTGAAAGAATGGCCTTTGAATGTGAGCACTTCCAAGGTAGGTTATTTTTAAAAATCCTTAAATATCTGGAGATTCAGGAGGAAAACACAGCAGCTTGGATTGGCAGCAGGTCAGCAGTAGAATTAGATCTCCCGCACTGATAGGCGGACCCTGTTTTTTCTTTCATTAGTCCAAGTTTTGCACCAGTGCACAGTAATTGCGCCAACGTCTCTGGGATCACATCAGTGTAAAGGAGAATAATTAGATCCTCTTTTCTTCTTCCTGTTATTTGAGTCTATTGATGGTACTTAATGCATTTTTGCTCAGCTTTCTGTTTTAAAGATGACCTCTACTTTTGCCAGGGGTGGGGGGCTATTTTGGCAGTCTTATTCTGCTGTGCCAGTGTTGGTGGTCTTTTGTGTAAGCTAAGAAGCAGTAATCTAGAGGAGGGAATTCATGTAAACAAACAACTGACTTCTTCTCTATTAGACAGACAGAAATCTTTTATGGTAAGAACAAAAGGTGAAGTGTCAGCAATGCTATTTCCCTTGCAAATAACTGTGTCATAATGGTTTCCTGTCTCTCTCATGCAGTTGGAACATAAGGCTATGGAGACTTCCAAGACACATTTGCATAAGATCAGCTTAAATTGTCATCCTAGGAGATTTTCTCAAATGAAGGTCTAAAGATCTGTCAGTTTTCATACCCATTTTGAAAATCCAGTGGTTATTATTAGCATGACATAGGTAGTTTAAAAGATATATTTACGCCAGTGTTTTTTCTCTCTTAAATAAATCCCACCAGCATCACATCTGTGGTTAACACATATGCCTTAAGGGATTTAGACAGGATTAGGTTGGTCATATAATGGTATCTCTCTCTGTCTCTGCAAGCAGGCAAACCACCCAAGGAGTACAATTATCACGTCTGTTTGTTGGGACTAATGAATTGCAATGCCTGCTGAAAGTGACTGCAGGCTGACCTTTCAGATAATCCTAATGAAGCGGAAAGTAGTTATTTAAAAAACAAAATTGAAATAATCAGTTAACAGTTTAATATGTTGGATCTATTTCATGTAAATATTTAAATACAGCAAAAAATATAATATTTGCCTATTTATCTGGCAGAATGGTGATTTCCCCCCTTCTTTTCCTGAATTGATGTAAGTTTATTTGGGAGAAATAGTTTCTGAATGTGATCTTCCCTCCCACCCACATTTGTACTTGAAATTGCTCTATTTATTGTGTTTAATATATTGATTTTAATTGAAATAACAACAGGAGGACTGGCAGTTTACAAGAACAACAGCTATTTAACTGCAGATGAGATAACATTTTCTCACTTTGAGTCTCAGTTCTCAGTTTCTCTTTAAGTCAGTGTTTCAGAAACTCACTAAATTTACTGGTGGAGAAATGAAATATGTGAGCCTTTTACAGGTGATTTTTCTAAGACTGCGAATGATGAAAGGACAGAAAATATGAAAGGATAGGGAATTCAAGGTGATTCAGATTAAAAGTTTGCAGTTGGAATTTGTTTAGACATACAAGATATATTAGATGTGACCGTAATGTTGGTCTCTCTCAGACCTAAATATTAATTAACAAATATCATGGTAATTGAGGTTCATTAATGTATGAATTGGGCCATAGTAACTTTTTGAGCAGAATAATACATCCCTTCCTATGAATTGTATGTATGTGGAGGGCCCTCTGCTTATGTGTACTTGCATCACACTTATAAGTTCTGCAATGCAAGGTATTTGCCCATTCTAACAACCTTACCCTCTACAAGTGCAACCCCCCCACCAAAAAAAGGATAGAAAAATATAAGGGAGGTGCGGTACTCTGTGTGTGCATGTATCATCAGGTCATCAGTCAATTTATGGCAATCTCATAAATTTCAAAGGGGTTTCTTGGAAAGGAATACTCAGAGATGTACATATATAACCCCTTTAATACAAATAATTTTGCAAAGTTTGGGAATATACACAGGTATGATTCCCCCAACATATGTGCATGATCTTTCTAACTACAACTTTGTAACAGTACATTTGTAATTATGCATTAGAGAAATGAATTTACACATGTGTGATGCCTCATTATGTTTCTGATGTTCCTAGGTAGAGAAGCACCCGACCTCTTTTGGTTCTAAACATTATCAAAGAAATTGTGCATTACAGCACTGGACAGTATGAAAATTGTGCAGCCTTGCTTTGTGAGGCAGATTGATATTTTTAGCACTCTTAGCTTTTAAGACAGAACTGTGGGGTTAATAGTGGATTATACCGTAGTTTAAAATTTCACACATATTACTTGAGACCACAATGCATAAAACAAAGATCAGAGGCACATATATTGAATTACATCTTCATGGGGATTGTAGTGTAGATCAATTATGTATGAAAATATTCTTTCTGGAAATATGTATGAAAAAATAGCAACAAAATTTAGGGTAAACCTCTCATTTGGCAATGTTGCTGTGAGAATGGAAATGAGCTTCACTTGAATACTCTGCCTACTTCCTATTGACAAAGGAAAAGTTTTAAAGGCTTAGTCTGCGTGTGTGTTTGAGAGAAAAACAACACTGTATGCACATTTCTTTCCAATGAAATGAAAGCTGAATGTCAAAGAGATAAGCTCAAGACAGTGAGAGGACGAGGTTAGAGAGAGCACAACGCAACACTTGGTAAAGCTGGAAAATGTTGTCACTCAGAGGTGTATGAAGCACTGACTCCTTGCCATTAGTATTCCAGTGAGACGTTAAGTCCAAAACAAAACTTTGCCCTTCAGAAGAAAGAGATAAGAAAAACAGACAAGCAAGTTTGATGCTTTTCTTTTCTTTTTTACATGAGATAGAAGGTCACTTGAGTTACATATGTGATAACAAGGATGCTTTTCTGCCTTTCCCCCCGCCATGATGTAATGCCTCTTGGTGTGTTACCTTACCTTGCAGGGTTGTATTTGGGGGATTCTCTGTTACTCAGGGCCGTAACAAAAACAACTTGGTCAATGTCCTGCGTACTCAAGACATTTTGTAAGTTTGTGTGATCTCGGAATTCTTTTATAATATCATAGCAGAATAAAATGAGGAAAGCCTAAATTTAAAAGTAAAAAAGAAAAGGGGTAGAACAAGCCAACAAATTCATCCACAAGTGATGCTGCACAAGTTGATCTCTAACCCAGTTTGATATTCTATTAGTCTGTCAATTGATGATTTTTTTAGGTTACAGGTGGGGAACTTTTTGATCATCCTTGATCATTGGCTATACTGGCTGGGGTTTTGGAGAGTTCAGGTTCAAAACATCTGGGAGGCCAAAGGTTCCCTAGCCCTGCTTTAGATATTTCTGGTTGTGTGCCTTCAAGTTGTTTCCATCTTATGATGACTTATGGTGACAGGGTTTTCTTGGAAAGATCAGAGATTGTTTGCCTGCTTTCCTCTGAAAGAATGTGACTTGCCCAAGGTCACCCAGTGGATTTCAATTGTTGGGTGGTGGGGGTGGTGAGATTTGAACCCTGGTCACCATAGTCATATACAGTGCTCAAACCACCACACCATGCCATAGACACCATTTTCTTGTCTGCATCCATTCCTACTGATCAACCATCCCAGTAGTTGATCACTTCCCTATGGAGGAACAAGTTATCCTATTCTCACAGTAAGGCTCCATGTGTCTGGTGTCCTTTAGCCCAGGAATGGGCATGGCGTGCAGGCCACATACAGCCTTTAGACCCTTAATTAAGGCTCCAGAAGCCCCCCTGGTAGCCCCCCAGCATTTTAAATAATTTTTTTGTCCAATTTTCAAGTAATTTTTTTTTATTTTGGCCTCTTAACTGGTGCCAGTATGGTCTACTGAGTAGATGCAGGGTAGAAAAATTTCCCCTGTCCCCTGTGCAGTTGCCCACCCCTGCGTTAGCCATTGCTATTCAAGCTGTACAAGCTGCCTATTCACAATTATTACTTTGTATTTAAAGCACTTGTTTAAAATGTTTAGCATTTGGAACTGAGTAAAGAGAGGAGTCACTGGATCTGATTGTTTAATTAAAGTTAATTCCCACTTGCTGCTTAACCTGCTAAACCTGCTTTTCTAGGTACAATTTTTATTGTAAGTATCCACTGCTTCGTTTATTTACTTTATTAATTATATATCTTTGTTTCCTTTTCCCAAGGAGTTCAGAGTGGAACAAGTGATTTCCCTCCTCATTTTGTCCCTAACACAGCTCAGCATATTAGTTCAGCTTTGATGTGCAACATTATGCCAAGACCAGTTAGTGAAATCCATGGGGGTTTGAACCAAGTTTTCCTGGTCCAGGCTCAACACTCTATTCAATGCAGCACACTGGCTCTTTTATAAAAGCACATATCAGTGGATCTCTTCTCCATTTTACCAGTTGGCATGGCCCTTTCATATCACCTACATCCACAAATACATATCTTACGGAAGCATTTTTCTCTGTATGGCAAGCTGCTTATAATCAATGTTGTACTGAAGTTTTCCTATACTGATTACTTCTTTGACCCAATTGACTGTCCAGATTGAGACAAAACTAGTTTTTTTTCTATCCATTTATACTCACTCCAGAATACAGTCGCCCCTCTGTTTTCACGAACTTCAAATCTATGTCCCATGCCTATTCACGAGTGGGAAATGAAGGGGCACATAATGGAGCATGTGCTTGCAGGCACAGGCTGCCATTCAAACCAATGGGGCTTGAATATCAGTGAGTTTCTATTTTCACGGGGTGTGTGTGGGGGTCTGGAATGGATCCACCGTGAAAAATGAGGGGCAACTGTATGATTAAATTTCATTTCCCTAAAATTAAAAAAGCATCTCCTCCCTCCA